TTATTTTGTTTTCATTTCGAAATGAAGGTCCTTCTCGTTTTGTTTCTCGGGAAAAAAAACCACTTCAAGGTTTTAAGTTACCGAGAGATCATACAAACGATAAATTTCCGTTTTGTTAAAATTACAACTGGTTCTACGGAGGCGAAGGAAAGTGCTGTGTGTCCGTTAATGGTATATGATTACTACCAACATGCGATACTTGTCGTGACTTCTAATGAGTTAAAGAAGCTAGCTGGTGAGTACCTGGGATTTGTCTCGAGTCATTCCGTGTTTATAAATTTCTTACAAGAACGTAGACAGTGTTTTCACACAATATTTTGGTACGGAAACAAATAATTCGGAACAGTCACTTGTAAGCCTGATAATAAAACAAAATGATAACATTAAGATAAACAGGGTGGTTGGGAAGTAAGTATGCATTAAATAATCGCTATACATTTGAAATATAGAGGTTACAACCATTTCTCAATACCTACTTACTTCCCACCTACTCTGTATATGATCACTATATGGTGACGAATTGAGTGGATTAAGCTGGCTCGCTATCCTTTGTTTATGAAGCGTTCGGATCGTAGAAACTAAGCATTAGCACAGATAGATCGAATGACGTGAAACAGCAATTGGTTGCCAGTGTTTATAAAGTTTCAAAGGCGGCGCAGATTGGCTAGGTCGATGGTGAGTGCCTTCCATTGTACTAAGTAAAGTCTGATGTGGCGTCTTCCCATAGCGAATCCGATGAATGTCGCCGGGCGTGACTTGAGCGAAAGCGTACGCCCGGCTTTTTCTAATGCACCTGAACCCATGACCTTGACTGGATCATGCCGCGTATTTCACAAACTGAATGCGTTCCAGCCGCGTGTCAAGAGACTAGTCCAGTTTTTGCAGAAACGTCATTAGTTAAACATGGGCAAGAAACATAATAACAAGGCAATGGGAGTTTCCACTGCAAGTTCTTTTATATTACTACGCCTACCCTAAGGCTCACCAACAAAAATGATAATCCCCTGACTTGGCATAAACACCAATGATTACGAACATAGTCAATTTGTTATTTTAAAAAAAAGATGAATGCCTTGTACCTCTGTGCTGTGCTATAATTAAGGATGGTTGGTGGTGTTCAAGGCCTCCTCATGTTCGATCACGTTGAAGGCGGAAATATCATCCCATATTGCGAATCATGTGCAGAAAAATCACTTGTCTGCCTGTTAAGTAAATACGATAACACGTTTTTGTAGTCCTTGACGCAAAAATACATTGTCGGATTAATGTGCAGTGTACGCATCACCTTGTGTTGTTAGGATAATTAAATGTAAGGGGCTGTGATTGGCTGGCCATGTGGCTAGGATGGACGAGACGAAGAATGATTACAAAGACGCATAGAAAAGAGATATAGGACGGATAGCCTATCTGTTGGGCTTCCTGAATGAGCCTCAAACATCCACGAAGCAAAATACAACTTCTGAAACGGTGTACATTCTGGCGCGTTCTTTGCACCAAGTGCATAGCTCGACAATATATGGGCTCGTCGTGTCTGTCCGTCCGGTCGATTCAACTCGAGAACCGCTGGACGGATTTGGATGAAATTAGGAATGGACGTCGTGCCATTTTGTGTATGTTAAGTTTGCTTTTGTTGGGACAGGTTACGTTAGTTTCTGATACGATAAGTTAAGTCAGGTCCGTTTCGGTAAGTTAATATATGTTGCGTCAGGTTAGGTTGTTTTAGGTTAGGTTAGTTTCGGTATAGGAATTTGGATAGATGTTCAAATACGAATTTTAAATGCTGGAATTTCGAATGTGGGAATAATAAAATTTGTAATATTAAATTTTGAAAAAATCGAGAAGTTTGGATTTGCGGGTGTTTACAATTTGTTTAAAATTTGGAAGATTTTGACATTTTTAAATTTATTTCGTGGGACAAGGCGTATGTAATACCTATAAATACACGTGGTAAAGAACGCATATAATGTGTACACGATATGGAACGCTCGATTTTAGAATCAGTAACTTAATAATCGATTGTGATGAGTGAAGTAAACCCAACTAATTCAGGGTCGCGTCGGATGGATCAGTAGTGTTGGGGATTCGAGTCCTGCTACCACTGTGTTTGTCTGCTCGTCGTACGAGAAGTACGTATCTTGAAGATCTCTTCAATATTTCTTGCCGGGTGTAACGATGAGAAATTCACGGTTGATTTAGGCCGAATGACGGACGAGGTTCAATGTGGAAACCGTCTCCTTGCGAGCCAGATGTCTGGTGGAGACGTGAACATTTCCGAAACATTTTGGATGAAACCCACAAACCTTAACGCCGATTGTAATCTGCATGTGCCAGGAGTCACACTCTAACGTGTAAATGATGTGCAATTGTTTTCCGCCTGGGAGAAATCCTTCCCGAGGACCCCTACCACGCAGCTGTTGCCAGAATAAGCTGTCAGTGTCGCATTAGCTTCAGACTTCACAATCTCCCAACTGACACGAAAGGAGCTGCTTCAGGGCCGAATTTTGAAATTTAGAGGAACGTACGCATTCCATATGTGCGCACAAATTGAGGTCAGAAGTTGGCTGTCTTCTGGGTTATAGCGCCTTGTAGTCTGGTAGAGGTCCTTGCTACGTCATCAGGGCGTTTAAGGACTTCTGAAACGTTGGGTAACTATAAGGCATGATTTTAGTACCGAAGCCCATGTCGGTTCTGGAATTCATTCAGATTTCATCGACTTGAACTACATTTTGCCTCAGGTCCGCGTTCTTAAAACAATGGAATCGCACTCCGAATTATCCTGTAAATGTGCAGGTCCTTGCAGATTAATTTTCCACACTGGAATAATTTGTTTTCTTTGTTTCCGGTTATATTTCGTCTGTTATACATTTCGCGTTGAAAATCTGTGGCCATGTAGTGAGGGGGGGAGGAACAGGATATTTCGTTACAAGCCTCACATATTTGAAAGACAGATACGTATATCTGATATCTCAATATATTTCACGTGCCTCAATTATCATTTCTGTACCTGAGTTTGTTATTTCTGCATTATTATGATATCTACTCTGTTTTCACGGCAAACAAAAGTCCTCAGTTTTTGTTTAGTCCGTATTTTTAAACGTCCTAGCAATAATTTCGTTAAATGGGCTGCAAACCCTGGGATAAACCACTGCAGTTGAACGGTCGCCAATAAAAATTCAAACGTTTCTTCATATCCCAAAGTATCCATACGTACATATGTACAATAAATTAGTATATATATATATAAGCCTATTAAATGTTATGTAATAGACCTGTAAGTGTGGGATTTATTTGCTTATAAACTTACTACTATTAGATTAATAAGCAAAGAAATAGGTTTTACTGGTTTGTACCTGAAGCTTTTGAAATATAATCTGTATGTGACATTCGTTGCCAAGTGCACGGTTCGCTAAAGAGACAAGGTCTGTACATGACAGAAATCCAATAAAACTTGCTGAAAGTTCCGTCTACTGTCCAAGATAAATTGACTTATTAACTGATAATTGAATTTTAAATTTCTCTTATTCATTTAATAATAAGTTATGGAAGGTCTGCTATCAATTTTTTTTTCAAGATAATATTATCTTCAGTAGAGATCATGCTGAAATTAATATACGATTTCACCGAAATTTAAATAGATCTGAGCCCAAACCTGTAAGTACGGCCACATTGCTTAGCATGTTCATCAGTGGTTAGTGGCGTATTTAATGATGCTTTCTGTGATTCAGGCTATAAGCGTGGAATGATATGATGTTTAATGGGCAATGATGTGCTGATAAGACATGTTAACCCCTGCTGGTAGGAGGTCGTTGGATCAAAGTTGGAAGTCTGGCTGTCCGTCCATTAAAACAGAAAGAAAGATAAATGCAGCGGACGTTACTATTAAAAAAATAGCTGTGTTTTGAACATAATTTTTCTTGATACAATCTGTTCCGTAAAAGGAAGAGTTTTACTGTCTTGTTCTTATATTTGCATGCCTTTTACATAACATTAGTGTGTCAGTGGCAATAAATTCGACTTGAAAAATATGTTTATATAATCGCAGTAGCTCCGTCTTATCTGCTGCTTGCGGACCTGGATATTTCGGTACGGACCAATTCTCATAATTAGATTTCATTAATGACGTGAAGGGGGGAGGAGTCTCACAGGTTTATCCGCTAAGCCACAACGTTATCAAGAGCGCTGCAGGGCAGTCCAGTGTTGTGAGTTGATGTAACGACATTTGTATTTAATATATATTTATTTATTGTATTCCCGTCTATACACAAACTTATTATTAAAATGTTGTTGTTAAAATTAAAATTAAGCGCTTTTCATCTTTATTACGATGTTACATTTCAGCGCTTATTATTTTACGACATGTTTCGATGCTATTGCATCATCCTCAGGTTTTCACTATTATTTTCATCTTTAAAACTAATATATATTTATTAATGCAACCATTTATTGTTTTATTTGTTTTGTAGATTTCTTTCTGTCCTTTTGATCTTCGTATTATAATACTAACCAGGAATAAAAGAATTTTCAACACAGACGCAGTAGCGGATCTCAAAAAAAAAAAAACAAGAAATTTTAATTTTAACAACAACATTTTAGGCGGGAGTAATAATCTCAACTCACGACATCGGAAATAAATTAGGCATTCAGCAGATATGGACACAGCATCTTCAGAATTCTTAACACTGTATTTAAATTTAAATTTTATCAGTAGCATTATTTGCAGTATTTACGAAATCTGATTTTATGGCGAAGCTGCTAGATGTCGCACTTACTTGATAAAACACTGATTCTCACTTTCTCCCCCTGCCCAAAAAAAAAATACATCACCGACACAAATAGTTTTTAATGGTTCTGGGAAATATATGGACTTTGTTCTGAGAACGAGATGAAACCCTTAAGTAGAAACTGTGATGACCTGCAGAGTTATTAACATAGAGCAGGTGTTATACATAGTTACCACTGACCAATAAAGGATTAAGGTTCAGGGTTTTTTTTTTTTGCAGATATCAACAGCTGATAATTAGAATCAACAAAAAAAACAATTAATGAACAATGAAGACTGAGTAAAAGGAGCATGTTCTTTGTTAACTGCCAATATCCGGCCTGGGGCGTGACAGTGGCCATCATGCTGATCAGGTCTGCCACCTTGCAGCTAGTTTGGTAGAATTTGAGTTGTTCTCCACTCGAGTACTAAAACCTCAAGGCCGTAGCTCATGTCCCACCGAATAAGGCGTAATCGCCAGCCTCGAATAATTCCGTCATGTTGTCCTTAAGTGCCCTCGAAGGCACCGCTTTTCACCATATAACGTACGACATGCTCAGAACCTGCATCGCCCAGGCATCAACTGTTTAAGTGCAAGGGATTCGACTCTTTCCTCTGCGAAATTCTGTCAGAGACCTATTTTCACAGAAATAGCGTTCTGTGGCCTTCTTCCTTAGCCTGACCATGTTAAATAGACGCAGTTCCTTCTGTTTGAGGTGCACCTTACCACGACTTTCGTTACATCTTCCCCACACACTTTCTTTCTTCCTGAGTGTCTAAAAGGCACTTAGAGCTTCCCTAAAACTGTACAGGACTTTACTTCACAGCCTACCTCACTGCATCACATCCTGAACAACATTCCCATACACTTTGTTTTAATTTCTACATTGTCCATCTGTTTTTCATTCATTATTTAAACAACTTATTTTAAAGAACTTACTTTCCCCTCTTTCATACAAAGTAACCCACTGTATAATTCCATGCCCCTATCTCGTCTTTACTAATCGTAATAATAATCCCCCCTCAAGCGATTAGCTAACAACTAACTGGATGGCTTAGAATACCCAATGGTTCATCACCGAATTAACCAAAGCCCTCCACCGGACGCTGTCCTGGGCCAACAAAATCCAGTCTATTTCAACTCCTATCTCCCATAGATCCCGCCTGAGATTATCCTCCCATCTACGTTTAGATCTTTCCAGTGATCTCTTCCCCTCAGGCTTCCCGAAATAGTGGACCCAACCAACCAGATGGCTTACGGAACCCAAAGGTTCATCACCGAATTAACCAAAGCCCTCCACCGGACCCTGTCCTGGGCCAACAGAATCCAGTCTCCTTCAACGCCTATCTCCCATAGATCCCGCCTGAGATTATCCTCCCATCTACGTCTACGTCTTCCCAGTCATCTCTTCCCCTCAGGCTTCCCAAATAGTGGACCCAACCAACCAGATGGCTTACGGAACCCAAAGGTTCATCACCGAATTAACCAAAGCCCTCCACCGGACCCTGTCCTGGCCCAACAAAATCCAGTCTCCTTCAACTCCTATCTCCCATAGATCCCGCCTGAGATTATCCTCCCATCTACGTCTAGGTCTCCCCAGCGGTCTCTTGTCCTCTGGCTCTGTACGAACAGCCCCTTACCGCAATACTTATTGAAGAAGCTCACCAGTGCGTTGTGTCTGCTGGCTGATCGAGATAATTTTATTGTCAAATTATTTGGTAGAAGGGCCACTAAGAACGCTTAACCTAACTTAGTGCTGTTACACAGTCATTTGGCTGCAAACATTTCGTCATTCTGACGCCCATGAACCGATCTGAACTAAATGAGAAAATTAAACTGCGTGGTGCAGTTGTGTAATCACGGTGACATGCGCACTGCTGACCTCTGTTATCTACACGAGGAAGTAAATGTACTTTTACCAGATTACTTACATTACAGCGTTCGTTGACTATGGCGCCACGGTACATCCAGCCTTACCATCCGATTAGAACATTTTCCCTCGACACGAGACTTTTGTGCGTGGTTAAGAAGAGAATTATGAAAAATAAAGCGATCTTGGGAGAAATGTGAACTGAGTGGTCGCATTTGTGTGATGAGAAGCCTCGCGTTTCAACTATTATCTTTCGTCTATTCTGATCAAATTAAAAAGAGTACGTGGTTCGTGTGAAATGTATCTTCGCACATGAAAAAGTTGATGTTCCCCATAAAACGTTTGTATCCATGAGAGACTAGCATAAAGTGACAGAGGCTGTTGTAATGATAGCCTATGTTACTGGTAAATATTTTACACCGATGATTTTAAATTTTGCGCAATTTGGTTTTGTCAAGTTGGTACTCAACACCAGTGAAAGATGGCGTATTCAGAAAAAGAGAGCGGTTTTCAAGCTTTCCTGTGCTTACTTGCAATTACTCGATTTATTATGAATAAATAATGTTTCTCTGTATGTTTTGAACTTGGTCAGTTGAATACTTTATTTTTATTTCTTTAGATAGTATAATTGCGTCATATTGTGAATCAAATATTAAATTAATTATTCGGTTTGGTCCGTCTAATCACAATTATATTTAAAATTTACTAATAAGATAATTAAAATATAATTTTATGTTCCACATCGAATAATCGATTTACATTTGGAACATTTTTACAACATGTTTCGGTTTCATCGAGCTACACAATGAAATTGTAATTGAGTTTTAAGTTTGTTGATATAATTTTACACCTGAAGATGGTTCGATGAAACCGAAACATGTTGTAAAAATGTTCCAAATGTAAATCGATTATTCTATGTGGAACATAAAATGATATTTTAATTATCTTATTTGTAAATTTTAAAT